TTTGTATTCTAGTTTGATTAGTTATTTCAGCAAATTCTTTCCATCTTTCTCAATTTTTATTAAATAATTTATCTTAACAATTTAACCTACTCAACAAATCCTTTCCATCTTTTCCCCATATTCTGTTATTCAAATTACCTTAATTTATTTAACCTTATCTTACCAAAAAATACTTTAAAGCTTAAAGCTTAAAACTCGATTATATATAACTCCTGATATCATTTCTACTAGAGTCATATAGTTTCCTTCCAACATTTTCCCTAAGATTCATTAATTTTAGGCTAATTCCCTAGGGGGAAAAAATTCTTTATAAATTTTCTTCCAATCTTCATCCAACGTCTCTTCTTCCTAGTCCCGGGTCGTGTCGGTCCTTACTGTCCATTCCATCTAGTCCATCAACCTGGTGAACTTATGTCCGAGGCCCTTAAGTCTCTTCCATGTCCCTTCTACAGATCTTCTTCCTCTTGTTTATACTTGCACTTTTCCTTATCTTTTGTTGGTCTCTTTCTTGATTTCTTTCCTTTCTCATTGAGGAGTAGGGCTCTGGGGGATTCCAACCCAAAATTATCTCCGTCTCCCTTCATCAAACCAGCCCATTCCCCACAGTCCCACTCCCCACAGTCATCAATGTAGTCCAAAAAATATTTAAAAGCATATTTCAAGGTCTCTCCAAAGTTAAAAACCTCCTCAGCTCCAGACTCCCCCTGGCCCACTCCAACTTCAATCTTCAAAGACAGCGGCTTATGCTCCTGTAGGGCCTTGGGTCTTTCCATTTGTATTATTTGAGGTGCAACCGCAACCTCCTCCATTATCTTCTGCACTTGCCCAATCAGTACAGGTTCCTGTGTTGGTCCCTGGATGATTTCTGTATCAATATTCCCTGTTTGTTCACAGTTATTAACCACAACAGTCATCAAATCCATTTTCTCATTCATCAAATCCATCTTCTCATGCATCTGTTCCAACAAAACACTTGTCTTGCATAAAGCAAGTACCAAAACTTCCTCCCAGCTCATATTTAGTCAAGGTCAAAAAGGATTGGTCCCACGATCTTAATCTGACAGCTGTAGAGTCCTTGAGTAGACTGCAGCAACAATTTAGCAAGCTCCCTCTAGAGGAGACAATTTCTATTTGTATCAATTTTTTTAAGGCAAGTCCAGCAAAGGAAAATTACTTTTGTTTTTCAGATATTTTGTTTCTTTAGAATGCAAAAGGCAACATTGGAATCAGTTTATTTCTCTTCTTTAGCAATCTGTCAAAGTATTCCATTCACAGTCAATGAACCTCTCCAACAATTTCTGCCTCTGACACCCCGTTCCCAGGTTAGAGATGGTGGAAACTTATCTTTCTTCACTCCCTCTCCTGCAGGCGTTAAACAAAGTCCCCCCCCCCTTTTCTCCTGCTTCCAAGGGGGTTTCAGTAGTTTTAAATGAAGGAAATTTAGACTTTTTTAACGACTTTCCAGGCTTTAGCTTACAAGGTTTTTGCTTCAGTCTATATACAAAAAGCGGAAGGCGGACTTCCTGTTTTGAACCTTCCCGCTTCGGTGCCAAATTAAGATATTTCTTGATCGAATTTTCCGTTTCTACTCACGGGTACTTGTTTTAAATCCAATTGTCCACAGGAAAAAGTCAGCGCTCTCCGGCGATGGCTGTGCGGCTTCACTCCGTGAAAGTAGCAATCAGTTCGCAGCACCGCGCCACTCACCCCACTTCACTCTGGAGCCCCAAAATGGGGTTCCCAGTGAGTAGGGGGGCGCTCCTGGTGCCCTGCCGAACCCCACGTTCCCAGGCTTCCTCCGCCTGGGATTTCTAGCGGGTCCCCACCTTCGCCACGGCGGGAAGACCCGATTTCCACGGAGCCAGTTCCTCCGGTCGGAGGAACTCCACCATTCACCGATGGCGCTAACCCGGAAGTTCCTGAGGTAAAGTTCTTAACCCGAGGTACTATTTCTGGGTTAGCAGAGTCTGTAACCTGAAGCGTCTGTATCTCGAGGTACCACTGTATTTTTAAAAGTGGGCTCATGACACTTTTTTTGAAAAAATAACTCCTGAACCCCCCGCACCCCCCTTCCTACACCACTGGTAGCTAGGTGAGGCAGGGGGCATCGGGTGCCACACTGCGGGGACTGCAGCATGCCTGAGCCACGCGTCTCTCCTGAGGGGGAGGTGGCGGGCGGACTGCCTGCAAGCTCCATGCTTCTTTTTTGAGCAGTGTGGGGCTTGTGTCTGGCTGCAGGACACACAAGCCACACCAGGCACCTGGGCAGCTAGCTACGCCACAGCCTCCATGGTGCTCAACTTAAACCCAGAGCCTTTCTGTGTTCATAAAAACCACCTAGAAAAAGTACGTGGTGGGGTGACCCTTATTTAAGACTGGTGTAAGACTAAAAAAATTCTCAAGGGGAATAGTAGGAAAAAGAGAAGTGTACATCAGAGTGGCAGAGAATGGTTGAGGAAAAAAGCACGAGATACTTCCAGACAACTTGCTGAGCATTAGACCTGATCCATTTGCAGGGAGTTTGGATGATGCTGACTGTTTATTGAATATTTCTTCTGATTTGTTTGTGGGGAAGTTAGATGCCATTGCGTCAAACAAGTCTCATCCCACACTTTCCAGTGCATTCCCTGTCGCTTTCCTAGCTGCAAAAAGACTGATCTTTGGGGGAAGAGGGTTCCTTGTGCAAGAGCTCATAATTAACTTTCATGGTGCAGCCTGAATTTGCCAGTATATGATTGAATCCCACTCAGAAATTGTGGCAATGCCCTAAGAAGTCTTTCATTGTTTCATCACAATTTCTCTCCTCCTCCCCACTTCCACTTCATTTTAGAGCACTTTTATTATCCTTGTGTGTTAGGTTTTTGAGCATCGTCGCTTCAACACAATGGCAATCATTGTAACTCAAGCAAGGAATAACACAAATACTCCTTTTCCTTCCGCAAAGAATAAAAAGCAGCATTTCTTATCTTTCTACATGCTTAAAAGGAGATATGGAATTTATGACACACAAGCCTTTCTCAGTCTCTTGTTTTCTGACTTGATGAGAGATTAACGTTAATTACTGCTTTGCTAAATAACAGAGTCCAGGAAAAGAGGTGTGTAATTTTTTGGAAGAATTATCTTCCTAAAGCTCATTGCCCATGGTTTCCTGCTGAATCAGGAATTTTTAGTTAAGCACTAACATAGATTTTCTGATAATTGATTTTCTAGATAAACGAGAGAAACAAAAATGCTGTCACAAGCACTGTTAGTAATACTCAACAGTAAATCCACCAAAAGCAATGAACTTCTCCATTGATTCTAATGCATCTCCTCTGAATATGACTGAGGGATTGTCCATATTTCCTGTTGCCCCATGCCTAGAAAGTGAAGGTCTGAGAGGTTTTCAGCTTGTCCCATGCTTTCTAGGCACAAGTCCAAGCAGTTTTGACTTTGCTCAGGTGCTTCACTCCAGAAAACCTGCTCTTCAGTGCTAAATCGGAACAAACAACAATCCACACAAAACCTGATTGCTGTTTGCTCTGATTCTGTGCTAAACCATGGTTTTCCCAGGGTACAACTGTGAGGCAAATGGAAGTGTGGGTGAACCCTTAGTTGTCTATCACCTGTTTACCTTCAAAACCTTGAACATGGGGTGGGAAAGCTGTGGCTTTCCAGATGTTGTTGGACTACAGCTCCCATGAGCCCCAGCCAGCATGGCCAATGGGCAGGGATGGTGGCAGTTTCCAGCAACATCTGGAAGGCCACAGGTTCCCCATCCCTGTTTGAAAGAGCCAGTTCACTTGCTTCAGTTGTTCTTCAGTTCTGATAGTTATAGCTTGTCTTGTTGTGGACTTAATGCCTTCGGAACCACGGCAGACAAGAAGTAGCAGAGCTTTACCCTGGTGAGCCTTCCTAAGTAATCAAAACAACTTCTCAAGCCATCTCAAACAGAAGGTATTAACTTACAACGTTGATGCTTTTTGCAGCTTAAGGGCAAGTTGATGAACAGAAAAGGGAAAGGAGTGGGGTTACATTTATTCGCTGTTGTTCTCGTGTAGCTTTCCTTTGCAAAAACAAATACAAACTGGCTTGCAGCTAAGTTCTAAAACAAACATGTATGTGAGTGGTTGTGCTGGACTGTGCTCAGGCCATGAGGAAAGAAAATTGCAGTCTATGTGTGCCAAGTGGCAGCCATTCATCCAGAGATTCCTGGGTTGAACCAAAGCATTAAGCACATAATTTGCTCTGGATGAGCTCTGGATGTACCACTGGAATTGTAATATTGCTAATGACACTTTTTCCTAGGGAAAGGGCAAGGTGTAACAGTTCAGCTGGTAGGCAGGCAGTCAACTACAGGTATAAAGGCTCCATAGCAGGTAGGCCAGTCCAGATTCCTGTTGGAAACTGTGGAGAACCACTGTGAGTAACTGAGGAGAAAATACTGAGCTGGGTGGGCCAGTGGTCTGACTCAGTATGAGGTAGCTTCCTATGGGCAGCAGTGCCAATGGAGCAGGACAGCAGAGCTGGCTTAATACATTTTGGGGTGACGTTCATAAGGAGTTAAGAATTGTTCTGCTGGTTCATGGCCCATCTACATGCCAATGGCCCAACTATATGCCTGTGGGAAGCCCACATAGAGGACTCAAGCACAAGAGCACAATGTGTAATAATGCCCATTACCATACAAAGGGAGGGAATAGCATTTAAAGCATGGGTAGACAAACTAAGGCCCGGGGGCCGGATCCAGCCCAATCGCCTTCTAAATCCGGCCCACAGACGGTCTGGGAATCAGTGTGTTTTTACAAGAGTAGAATATGTCCTTTTATTTAAAATGTATCTCTGGGTTATTTGTGGGGCATAGGAATTCGTTCATTCCCCTCCCCAACATAGTCCGGCCCCCCACAAGGTCTGAGGGACAGTGGACCGGCCCCCTGCTGAAAAAGTTTGCTGACCCCTGATTTAAAGTAAGTGAAGTGACATCTGTAGAGAGGGACTCCGTCAGACAAGTACTTCAAAGTACCACTGTCTATTGGTCCACAACGGAGGTATTTAGGGACATAACAATACATTCAAATCTAGAGGGGGGGGGACTGTGAGGCATTAGGGAAACAGCTTCCTTCCCCCACCCTTTGGCCGTGCATCAGGAGAACAAAGTAATTAGAATCGCTTACCAGTTAAGAGTGTTTAATGATCAGAGAAAAAGAACAAAGCAGCCATTCTCGGAGTGAAGATGCTCCCAATTAGGTTTTCCTCCTACTTCCTGCCCAAGTCCTCCCCGTCACTTCCCCTTCTCACAACCTGATCTCGTAACCACTGAGCCTTCTGCGTAGCAACCTTATCAGCTCTCCTTGCCCTTGGAGAGAGAGGCGAGACACTTTCCAGCGAAGGGGAGTCAGTTATCTCTTTCTCTTACCTGTTCTGATTCTCTTAGCTGTTCCCCATTCAGCTCTGCCCAGCTGTGGTTTTCCAGACTATGTCCCTCTGCAAACCAAGTCTCTAAATCTATACAGCGGTACCTCATGTTGTGTAACCTCCAGGTTACGGAATCTTTGGGTTACAGCCACGGCAACCCAGAAGTGTATATTTCCGCGTTTCGCCACTCGCGCATGTGCATGTGCAGAGGCACTCTGCACACCACGCGCATGCACAGAAGTGTTCTGCATGCCGCATGCATGCGCAGAAGTACTCTATCACCCCGCACACATGTGCAGAAGCAGCACCTCTAGTTATGGACTTTTTGGGGTGCGCACGGCCCCCCAAAATGAATTAAATCTGTAACCAGAGGTACCACTGTACTGCTTCACTGTTCCTGGGCAGCTTCAGGATCCTGGTCAGGAGCAGGAAGAGGGGGAGGTTCCCACCATTCCTCATCAGAGCTGTAATTCTCAGTCTGGTCCCTGACAGGGACACATTTAAAGGGGGAAAGATCCAGGACAACTGTGAGAGGGAAGAGTTTCTCTCCTACATCGATGGGGGACAGGCCAGTGCAGATCCACATTTTGTTCTGGTGTGGACAAGCCACTGGTTGGCCACTGTGGATCTGTTTCACCTTAAGTTCTTGATTAAGCCTAGTTGCCTTAGCAACTGCAGCACTTTACCCTTTCATCCTGGCCACCTGCCTCCTTTGAAGCAGTTTCCACAAGTTGTGGTGCAATGCAAAAAAACCCCAAAATGCTGACTCGCAGGGCTTGTTTTGCCATGGGTGAAAATGTTCAGGAAGCACCACTTCATTCCTGTTTCAGCTCTGCACTTAATCTGATCTTTTAGAACATCCCAGATGTAGCATGGCAACATCCTTAGATTTTCCAGATCACATCACTGCCCCAGAGAATCAGAGGCTTGCAGCTTCCAGCCCCTCCTATCCTTCACTGGAACCACCTCAATACCCCCTAATTGTACACAATTTTTGTGTCACTATCGTCACTTCTCCCATGGATAGCTGATGCACTGGTGACAGAGGAAACACCCTCTAATTGTTTTGCAGTTCTTGTCCAGCTGGCTTTCTAATCTCAAGCTCACCCACTCAGAAAATGTGTTAGGAGGAGGATTTTAGTCTCTGATAAACAGAGTTTCTGGCTCCAATGACACTGGTAGCTTTTAACCTGATCCTCATGGTTCAGAGAGCAGAGAGGCCTTGTTGGCAAGCCTAACAGGACCCAATGGGAGGCCCCATGAGATCTCAAGATACTGTGTGCAAAAGAATGATTGCCTAAAGCTCACCCTTACTAGTTCTGGTACTCAAAAAAAGTGGGGGGTGCTCAAACTAGGGAGGGATGAACTTGCCAGCCTCTACCCCATGTTCCCATAGGCACTGGTTATACCCATTCTGCCCCCAGCAGTGAGCAAGAAGGCCTTCAGTTGTGTGTCCTTAGGAACCTCCTTCTGTCATGGCTGTAGACCACCTCTCCTCTGGTTCTGAAAAGGAGGGGGAGGGGGAGGAGAACCCACCCCCAGGTCTTTCCTGTTTGGGACTGTTATCCCTGGAGCCTGCCTCCCCTTCCCTGAGACTGAAGGAAACACTGCTAGCAGATGTTGATGGTTGGTCTACAGACTCCTCAGGGGATCAAGCAATCCCACGGCTGGAAAGTCCATTACCCCAAAAGGAGCTAAGAGGAGTGGCCCTTTAAATAGTCAGGAGGCTATTGACTCACTGGGTGGGGCCTCCAGTCAACGGCTCCCTTGCGCTGCTATAAAACTCAGCCAGGTCTTTGTTGAGACAACTTGGATGGTTGGCCTCAGCTCTCGGAGAGCTATCTGTGGTGCTGAACCCAGACCTTAATCTCCCTCCAAGGGGCTAACCTTTGCCTTGCTCCTCTGCCTGGACAATCAGCAATGTCTGACCTCTCCTTGTTTAGCCGATCACCCTCCTGGGTGGTGGAAGTCCCTGTGGACTGTGACTGATCAACATGGGACAGTTGAGGAGGTCAAATGGGGGTGCCTGGTGTGTTCACCTCCTGCTCAGTTTGAGCTCCATGAATTATTTTTGAAGGCCTGAAGGGGGCTGCTCTATCACTGTTAACTGCCCCACGGCATCAGAATGAAGCCAGCTGAGTCAGGGCAGTTTCTTGGTGACATTTCATTGAATAATTGTTCCCTTTTTATGAGGTCTTGTTAATGCCATGATTGGCGTGAAGTGTATAACAGAACATGACCTTAAGAGAGATCTTTTAATGGGTTTTTCCGCAGGCTGGAGGGTACTACATATGAGATGCAAAGGCTATGGGCTTTTCCACAATGGTTGCAGTTAATAGATTGCAGGGCCATGGACCTATTCACCTCATTAGGGAGGATAATAAAGGCAGGCTTCAATTTTACTGGCCTTGGGCTTGTTCTCTGCTGTTCTTCAGTTTTGTCAAGGACATAGACTGAAACGATTTACCTTGTTTAGTGTTTCTTTTCCCGACTGTCAAAAACTGCCTTCCATTTTTTGGCACCACTGATGTTGTCTTTGGGCTGCCTTTGTTCCCCCATTGCTATTTCCCTTTATGGTTCTTTTCCTTCATTATACCTCATCTTCCTTCACTGCTGATGTATTGGCTGTGACAACCCATGTGATTTTGTTGATGATGTTACAGAGTGGATGGCAACTAAGGTCAAGGGCAGTGAGGGAGAAGAGGGAGAAGAGGGAGAAGAAGAAGAAGAAGAAGAAGAAGAAGAAGAAGAAGAAGAAGAAGAAGAAGAAGGGAAATTGTACCAAGAAGCAATAGGCAGGGGGATAAGCAATGCATTGAAACAATGTGAATCTGAAGAGCAATTCAAGTTGAATAATTTCACTTTTTTGTTAAAAAATGAAATGCCGGTTCTCATATATTTATAGAAGTGTTGTGGGTGCCAGCTCAAAAGTTCCAGTACTCCATACTGGGGAGTCCTGTCACAAAAAAAAATCATGACTTCCCCATTTTTTGGTGGATTTTTTCCTGCCCCTGGAGAAATTCAGTGGAAATGGTCAGTGCACTTTCTCTATCCACCAACATATTTTGAGAGGCCATTTTTGCTGACCTCTCTAAAAGATCCTGCTTCTGCTACCCATCTCTTGCTTCCTGCACCATGGAGGCCTCCAGCTCTGCCATTTCGCTGTCCTCTACTGCACTTTTCCCAGTTATCTTCAGTAATGTGAGCTACGCATTGTGGGGAAAGTTCTGTCTCCACCACCTCGTTCCTTGTTCCTTCCTTTGATGTCCAGGCTTACCTGCCTGCATTGTTCATATCGAGGGCACTGTTTCACCTGCAGCAAGGCAATCATCATCACCTTAATCACCATTTCTAATGAAGCTCAAGCTCCTCTGCAGTACTCCAGCCCTTCAAAGCGTTGCTTAGTACAAATGATGGTTAACCACAGGGTTTTGATGTTCTCGTTCTTATGCCCTTGCACTTTCTCCTGACCACCACATAGTTGCACACACAAGCAAGTAGCTCGCTTTCATCAAAAGGCTCCATCAGTCGATTTGGCTCAGCAAGCTGTCATTCAAAAGTCCTTAGCGTGATGTTGGCAATACTTGTGAGGTTGAATTTGAGGAATGTTGCTTGTGAAGCTTGGGATTCTGATTCCAGCAAAACGCCCATGGTGGTGAAGTGAGGTGTGGCAAGACAAATTATCACAGCAAAAAAAACACACAAAAAAACCAACCATGCACTGAACAGCCAAGGGAAGCATCCAGTTATGCCAACCCAAAGTGGCAGGAAACTGTCACATGAATCCTCCCAGCCAATCTAAGGAGTCAATGCTAATATTTCCCTGCTGTTCTCACCTCCACCAGCAGGGGGTCAGTGCTAACGTGCTGTATTGTAGAGGAGACCCTGGTTCAGATCCTGCTACCAGACAAAAAAAGTGCTCAAGGTCAATCACCAGGCAGCACAGGCAATCCATGATTAGTGGTCTTTTTTAAAGGTTTGTGCTATTTTAGGGATTGTATGTATCTTATGTTATTTTATTTGCTGTTTTAATGTGTTGTAAACCACTTTGAGATTTTTTTTTCTTAATAATGTAAAGTGGAGTAGAAACGAAAATCATCATCATCATCTTTATCTATTTGATGTTGTTGTAAGCAAACCTGTTGCTTGTGCAAAGGGCAGTATATAAATATTCTAAATAAGTAAATAAACATGGAAATGGGGAGGGGTGTAGGGGGAGATTACTGGTCCTCCATATAGCCGTAGCCATTCTTTGTCTCCTAAAGCTGCCCAACCCTGGTTACAGTTGGAGAGGTTCCATGGCTGAAGTGAAGGGTGGTGCTCATTAGGACTGGTAGGGTGGAATTCAGGGAGGTTGACAGTAGGGGGAGCCAGAGCAAGCTACTAGCCAGTGAGGCAGAGCCAACTAATCTTGTTTTTGTCCCCAACCTCCTCCCTCCTGGCCCTTCTGTCTGTTCGCCTCTCCTCTCTGAGCCTACAAGCAGTGACAAGGGTTGTGTCATCCGTTCCAGGCAGTTCTACATACTGGGGTAGGAGGTAGAGCAAAGGAATGGGTAGCTGGGAGAGAATCAAGGAGCGGGTAGTCCCACTGGGGGTATTTTGCTCAGATGGGACCCCACAAAATCCAGATGTGGTCCTGTGTTGCCTTCCTGTTCACCACAAGTTTGAGCTTTTGAGAAGTTCTTTAGCAAAACCCAGTAGTTCCAGAAGAGGTGGGAGGAGACAGAGAAGAATGAAAGGGTAAGTCGATAACTGAGAATGTGGCTGGAGGATATCCATTAAGCTCCCTTTGAGGATTGGAATCTCTTTCTGTGGATGAAAGGGTAGATAGAAAAAGATGTAGGGAAAAAAGATTCCAAGCCGAAAAGCCCAGGTCTCAACTGTTATTACAAGAAAATTCTTGGAATGTAACTGCAAGGTGAGCTGGAAGCTCAAAAGCTGAAGTAACGCCTTTGTTTTCTGGGAAATAGCCTGGCTAAATTCCATATCTGCAGCCCTATAAACCTGTGTAAAAATGCCTGATTTCTTTAGAGGAACCAACCTAAGCTGAGGGACTCTCGGGTGGGTTTTCTACCTGCTCCTTTCAGCAATACACACAGGTACTGCTATCCAAATGCTCAGTATATGAAAATTCACTTATCCAAACACGAGCAATTAGTACTCAAACCTCGCTATACACACTGCAGATTCAGATACCCAAACATCTAGACCTGCAGGTAGTACTGTAAACAGATTATCAGCGTTAAACAAGCCTTACTTTTTTGTGTGTTTAGTTGGCCTGCGGCTTTCATTTCATCAAAAACCATGATGAGAGGGAGCAGGGAGGGAGAGGGAGAGATTGCACAAATATGAGAGCATTTTCCCGCTTACTTTTTTGCCTTCTGCAAGGTTTCAGAGGGGTTTCCCCAGGTTTTTTCATCATTTGGGGATCAAAATTCCTTGGTTGGGAATGCATTAAAAAAATTCCAATAGGAACCAATGGAAATCATCAAGTCGTTATACAAACACTCACCTAACAAACAATTTCCTGAGAAATTGTGTTTGGATAGCAGGACCTGTGTGTAAATTGCTTTAAATAAAGACAGATCTTTGTACCCCCAAAATAATTATTGAAGTCTGGTTTTTTTCTACAATAAAAAACACTGGTTCTTTCCCAATTTTATCCTTTCTTGTGGAATCCCACAATGATTACATTTTTGAGAACCCTAAATATACACCCATGAAACGATCTCGTGTTTTATAGGAAATAATGCTTTATTAGCTATTAGCAAGCAAGGCAGTTGACAGTGTGCTTTTTCTTCCTTATGCAAAGGAAGCTGCACACACATACATAACAGAAAATATGTGTTGTTTTTGTTAATTTGGAAAACTTGCTGATAACTATTTTTTTTAATTAAAAAAAGGAAGGCATACTGCAGAACGCATGAAGATTCTGTGATGTTAAACTCTCTCAGTTGTATCCACAGAACTATAGTCTTGGGGCACTATTGATGGCAGGTTCTTTTCAATAGCTGGACTGTTTGACCTGCTCACGAGAAGAGACGACCTTTCCATCTTCAACCTCCTCGACAATCATGCGGACTTGACGTGAGGTCTTTGTCACTGCAAGAGAAGAATTGGAGAGAGGGTTTATTTCCCCTTCAGATGTTTCATAACTTCACCAGATAACTCCATCTCAAAAACGTAATGATCAGGAGGTGAGAGGACCTGAGAAGCTTATATAGGGTCCTCAGCCAACTGGGAGGCTGAGCTGGGAGCCAATCAGGCCTTGAGGGAAGGACCAAGGAATGCTGGAAGGCTTCTGTTGCTTTCTAGGCCTGTGAGCAGACTGGTTAATGTTTCCATTTCCACGTACAGAAGACCCCAGGAAGTTGCTCCTGATATTATTTCATAACTTGTCTCACACACCACTTGATTGTAAAAAAACACAACAACCTCAAAGCAGTTTGCAAAATATATGTAGTTGAGAGACAAAAGTAGGATGTCTTACAGGGATGGGAAACCTGTGGGTCACCCCCAAATGTTGCTGAACTCCTGTCAGCCTTGACCATTGGCCATCCTGACTGGGGCTGATGGGAGTTGGAGTCCAACAACATCTGGAAGAGCACCCACTCCCCGTCTGTGCCCTGTCAGAATAGCAGAGATGAGTACCTCATCTACTTTCCTCTTATCTACTTGGAATTGTTGGGGAAAACAGGAATTGTGTGGGGCTGGGATGTCATTAATAGCGCAGTCCTAGGCATGTTTGCTCAGAGTTCAGTGAGTTCAGCATGACTATGGCTGCACACACATTATACCTTTGAAGCACATTTTCTCCTCGAAGAATTCTGGGCGCTGAAGTAGTTCGTTAAGTGGTTGCTAGGGATTGCAGTTCTATGGGGGTAAACTAAAGTGCCCAGAACTTTTTGAGGGAATGAATGATTTTCAAATGTGCTTTAAATGTATAATGTGTGCACAGCTTTACTCCCAGTAAGTGAGTTTAGGAAAGCATCATAATGTTATTCAGAAATCTGAAATCTGCTCAGGATTCTGGCCAAGGGTGATAGTAACACTGCAATCCAAGATGGTGATGTTGGTGAACAGCATTCTTTGATGCGCAGAGATATCTTCATCCTGACTCACTTAGCAGTGGCAGCAGCTAACATCACACAAGATGAAGGGTCGCAGTGTTCAGATTATCTCCTTGCCATCTCCTTACCATTTGTGGTGGTCCATCAGCTACTGTTTTTAGAAGGCTACTGGGTTTGGCTAAAAATGGGACAAGTCAGGGCCTCTTGAAAGGTTCTCCTCTATTTCCCCCAGAATCTGAGAACTGAACTTTTTTTAGTTGGCATGCATTCTTACCATCTCTTCCAGACACAGCTGCATTGTACTGGGAACTGATGCTGTAAGAAAAGAGGAAAGAAACATGGCCAAGTTAGAAATGCAGACTGCTTTTCTAGAATACATTATGAAATGCCAATGTAATAATAGAAAAAAAAAAAATCCTAAAAATGCCTATTAAATATAGAAACAGGGCTGCATACCAATGACAGTGTTGTTTGTTGATTAGATAATAAAATAATTAATGGATCTATTAATGCCAGCACCACCAAAATCTGGATAAAATTGCCTTTTAAGATATTGAAGGAACCTCCCTGTTTTGCTCCATGTGAGCTGTTTTAGAACTCCCTTCTTGCCATCCCTCCCCAGCACAGCCATCCCAGCCCCTCTTTTACGTACTGGGCCTCCTCTCCCTCCAACAGGCGGCGGTAGGTGGCGATCTCCTGTTCCAGGCGGGTCTTGACATCGAGAAGGATCTTGTATTCGTGGTTCTGGCGCTCCATGTCGCACCTCAACTCAGCCAGCTGCTCCTCCATGCTGCTGATCATAACCTGGATCTGGGCGAGCTGGGAGCCATAGCGAGACTCTGTATCTGCCAGGGTGGCTTCCAGTGCTGCTTTCTGGGGGAAGAGAATTGAGAGGAGGGTCACATTCATTGCTTTGAGAACTTTGGAAGATTATCAGGTATATAACAATGACAGTAGTGGGCTGCACGCTGGTTTTGTTATGTACTGAAGTTCTCACCCTGGGCCAGCCGGGGGATACTGTAGATAGTTAGGCAAATAAGGTATCAAAAGTTACGTTCAGTGATTGGATAGTTTTAGAAAATTGTTACAGTTACGTTGTACTGGAGCTCTATATAAGCAGGCTGACTGAACCCTTCAGTTCAGTTCTGTTCTGGCCTGTGAATAAACAAGAGCTGTTTGAAGAATCGCTGTGTCGTCTGATATGTTCACCCACAACTTAACAGGTTTCATGAAATATTTCAAGGAGGGACGGAGGGAAATTGAATTTTGTTTGCAAACCAAAACACAACTATTCTTCAGAATTTGCACTTTTCCAGATTTTGTGGTGCAGCTTCCTAACCAAATAATATGCATATATTAGAGGAAATTTCCACAAAATTCATTATGTTGAGGGATGTTGCTTGCAAAAAAAAAAGGTGTCTATATAAAAATGTGTATATCAGGAAGAATTCAGACAAAATTCTGAAACCCCTGCACATTACTACTGAGATGTGGAGAACTGGATTTAAGATTGGAAAAATGAGAAAGTGACAGAAACCAAAATTGTCAGATTTGTTAAATCAGGTATAGCATCTAAAGTCCTTAGGTAAATGCAGATGTCCAATCAGCAAATAGCTTTGGGTTATGGAGCCTGCTGGATGAGACCAAAGGTCTCTCTGGCCCAGCATCCCATTCTCACAGTGGCCAACCAGATGCATGTGGGAAGCCTGAAAGCAGTCCACAAATGCTTATGCCATGATAAAAATTAGTCTTTAAGGTGCCACAAGACTACAGGACTCTAGGTCGTTTTTGCTGCACTAGAATTACTGCTCTGTAAATTATTACACAGCTTTGTTGTTGCATTCATCTTTCACCCAAGAAGCTTAAAGGAGTTTCTCTCACTCACTCACACAGGCACACATTTCACCCTCATAAAAGCTCTACCAGGTACAGTAGGATGAGAGATAGTGACTGGTCCTAGGTCACCTAGTGAACTTCATGACCGCATGGGGAGTTGATCCTGGGTCTCCCTGGTCCTAGTCTAGTCCTAGGCCTAGTCAAACTAGCCATGAAACCACTTTTTAATCATCCCATATTAAATTTTTGCAGAGCCTCTAGGCTATGAGACAAGAGCAGCAGGACGACTCGCTCCATCGCTTCTTAGTGCCACACCTCTGACTTTCTCACCCAAAGAACGCAATGACTGCAATCTGATACAGTGTAGTGTATATAGGCTGCACACTTCGCCGGAAGTAAGTCCTACTTAATTCAACGAGCTCAATAGACATATAAGATTGCACCATTTGTCACCACCAACCTATCCCATTGAGTTCAATGGGATTTAAGCACAGTTCATTTTTGAGCCCTGTGTGTCTCTGTGCTCTTAACTACCTTTTTTTTTTCTTGAGCTATTGAGGAGCAGCCAAAAGCAAAGTTGCACTCTGTGTAAGGACACACTAATGATACTGTCCAAAAGAGGGGAGGTGGGCATTGTTACGCAATGGCCAGAAACGCACCGCAAATCATTCAAATGAAAAGGTCCTACTTCTTGGACTGTGTCACCAAAATAGAGCCAAGGGGACTTTCAAAGACACATCATCCTCCCCAGTTCCACGTGCCCCCTTACCGTGCTGAGTTGAGTCTGCAACTCTATCTCCAAGCTTTGGACGCTCCGCCTAAGTTCTGTGATCTCCGACTTGCCGCTCTGCAGCTGCTCTGTATGGATGGCAACTTCGCGGTTCAGCTCTTCGGTCTGCAAGCAAAAGGAGAACACATGTTGCTCACATGAAACTCAGAGCACCGAGTATCCATTTGAGAACCTGTGGCACTCTTTTTCCCCCTCCAGAAAGCTCCTTCATCCTGAGAGGAAGTCCCACCTTGCTGAAGAACCACTGCTCAGCATCCTTGCGGTTCTTCTCTGCCAGGTGCTCGTACTGCTCACGCATCTCCGTCAGGATCTTGGTCAGGTCCACTCCAGGAGCAGCGTCCATTTCCACCGAGATCTCACCACCCATCTGGCTTCGGAGGACAGCCATTTCCTGGAAAGAGAGGAAAAGTGGAAAGAGTGGAAAGTTTATTTGCTTTGTTTTCATTTTGTTTTTTGTCCTCTACTCTGGGTTAAGGAGAGAACTGCACGCAGATGAAGGTGATGGATGGTTGGTGAAGGACCCTGTGTGAGATGCAGGGAAGGGAAGTTCTCGCAGGGTGGGAGGTTGGGAGAAGAAAAGAAAGGTCCCAGGTGAGAGCTGAGAGGGTTCACCTTTTTCTGTATGGGACAAGAGTTAAGATCTACCTGTGAGAGGACTCTGCATTCTATTTTTACTTTCTTTTTTTAAAAAATGTTTAGATCAGTTTGTTTTTTATTGTAATGTATTCTGAACATTCTTAATAAAAAAGAAAGAATGTTTATTTGCTTATCTGTTCCAGCTGTGACATGGGAGTCCAAAACCACATAGAAAAGTGCCTTATGGCTGATTAGCCTACTTGTCCAAGTTGTCCATCTCTCCGAAAACAACTGGAAGCAGCTCTCCTGGGTTTAGCAGGGGACCTTTTGAATGCAAAGCATATACTCCACCACTGAATAGAGCCATGGTCCTTTGAAGACAGACTCTGTCTTGGTGGCTAGCAAGCAGGCTTTGACCAGCTGCTTGACTGCTATGAATTAGACTTTCTGCACACCATCACAAGCCACCCTAAATGAGGGTTTGTCCTGGCACTCCAAAGACCAGATCTTGAGCATGGCAGTACAGGCACATGACTGGTTGGTTATGGGACTGAAGCCAGCAAGTGTAGGATGCTTTACTTGCCACTGGCCATGCGATACAGGTTCATGGCAGCTTTGCCTCTTACCTCTTCATGGTTCTTCCTGAGATAAGCCAGCTCCTCCTTCAGGTTCTCAATCTGCATCTCCAGGTCTGCCCTGGACAGGGTCAGCTCATCCAAGACTCTGCGCAGCCCATTGATGTCAGCCTCCACGTTCATGCGCATAGCTTGCTCTGTCTCAAACCTGGAATCAGAAAAAAGGACAGATTAAATTAAGATATCCCTTTTTCATATTTTTTGTTTTGTTTTGTTCCACATAGTTTTGCTTACTGTATTTTTCCATGTATTAGACAAGTTTTTTTGGCTCAAAAATCATGTCAAAAAAACTGGGGTCATCCTATACACGGATAGTGGGGGGGGAGCTGTATGCCACCAGCCAGCTGGTTGGTGGACATGCAACTCCCCCGCATGCCGCTGAGGGAGGTGCACAGTCTAGGGAGCATCATGGGGGGAGCGTCTGCCCCCTTTGCCAACCCCCAGCAACGGCCCTTCTGGGGTGAAGGAGTGCAATTCCCCCTAAAAAAAGCTCAACAACCTCGGGCCATCTCCTCTCATTTTCTTTAAATTTAGTCCTCCAAAATAGGGGACGTCTTATACACAGAAAAATACGGTATTTGCTTTTTCAGACTAGTTGTTCATGACAGGCCTTCAGTTAAGTTTCCTGATATATGAGATGTCAGATTATCCAGCCTTGTTTGTTGGCTTCCTAATCCAGCCTGCTAATTACACCTTGCTTGTGTTCTGGACCAAACTCTGTGTTTCTAAACCTAATTTTTCTTTCCTTGCTCCAACTTGTTGAGTGGTTTTTAGATCTGCCTTGGAAGCTGTTGGCCAATTTGAATCCTAGTGCCAGTGCTTAATATGGCTGAAGCAACTTCATCAGTCCAGGGAGCCGTAGATTGGAGACCGTTCTCCAAATGAAATGTTTGTTCCACCTGCTCATGGTTCATACATATTCTGCGGAAGCACAACTTACTTGGTTCTGAAGTCATCGGCTGCCAGGCGGGCATTGTCAATCTGCAGGATGATGCCAGCATTGTCAACAGTGGCAGCCAATATCTGGGGAAAGAACAAGTAGTCTTAAAGAGAAGTCTTAAAGAGGCTTGTCTGAATTATGTACTCTCTTAAGTATACAGGACGAGAGCAGGCATTAAGTGATGCCTAGGGTGGAAGTTAGAATGGCAGTTCATGGCACCAAGTTAACATGCATCAGGTCAGCCTGGATAGCTCAGCTGGCTGGAGTGGGGTGCTGATAATGTCAAGGTTGCAGGTTCTATCTGCATATGGGACAGCTTGCAGGGGGTTGGACTGGATGCAGGGGGTTGGACTGGATGATCCTCAGGGTCCCATCCAACTCTACAATTCTATGATTCTATGATCTATCCAACAGGCTTACTCTACCCATCACTGCCACTATTGGGTTGACCATATTAATAGCAATCCCTACTAATCCCTGTGGAACACCCTCCCATCAGATGTCAAGGAAATAAACAACTATCTGACTTTTAGAAGACATCTGAAGGCAACCCTGTTTAGGGAAGTTTTTAATATTTGATGTTTTATTGCCTGGTTAGTATTATTATTATTATTATTATTATTATTCTGTTGGGAGCCACCCAGAGTGGCTGGGGAAACCCAGCCAGATGGGTGGGGTGTAAATTATTATTATTATTATTATTATTATCACCCAAATGGATTATGATAAACATGAGGAAACTGGAAATCAGCCCTTGCCAACCTGCTGCTTGCCAACTGTTTTGAACTACAACTCCCATCAGCCCTAGATAGCAGAGTCATGATGTCTGGAAATTGCCAGATTGGCAAAATCTGCTGCCAAGCAAGGAAGGCACTTGTTCTCTTATGTTGTTATCCATCGGCTGCTCCTTATTAGGTGCCATTTTCAAGGAAGGACATCAGTAGATCAAGCAATGGATAGAGATTTCTGGTGATCCATGAGCAAACTCAGAAGCTTCTCTCAAGGCATAAATAGATGATAGATAGATAGATAGATAGATAGATAGATAGATAGATGATAGATAGATAATTGATAGATAGATAGTAGATACCATAGATAGATAGATAGATAGATAGATAGATAGATAGATAGATAATAGATAGATGATGATAGATAGATGATAGATGATAGATAGATAGATAGATAGATAGATAGATAGATAGATAGATAGATGATAGATAGATAGATGATAGACACACAAAAAACATTTTCACCATGCCCTTCAAATCAAATAATTACATTGTTTCCTGAGTTAATTCCCACCCTCAGTTGACTTCTCCACAGTGTTTTTCCTCAAACCTTTTCTACTGAATTATATCTTTCCTGCTGCATTACATCTTTTTTACAAAAAGGTCCTCTGTTACAATTGTTTAGGTGAGGCCTCTTTCAAACTCAGGCTGCATTTGGATACTCATTTGCACAAGGGTAAGTGCCACTGAACTCAATGGGATGCATTGAGTAGAATGCATTGAGTAGAAGCGTATAGGGTTGTGCTGTCAGTTCCTCATCTGTAAAATGCAGGGTGGGCAGATAGAAAGGGGGCAGGATACTCATGCAGAAGAGGAGGTCTCAGCTGGTGTAGCTGGCATGGCAGCACAGAACTGCTGAAGTGCCACACATCATCTATTTTATTACGTTTATATCCCACCTTTTTTTTTTTTCCTCCAAGGAACTCAAGGTAGCTCACATGGTTCCCCTCTTCACTTAACCCCCACAACATCCCTGTGAGGTAGATTTGGCTGAAAGGCAGTGACTGGTCCAAGCTTCATTACCAAGTGGGGATTTGAACCCTAGTTTCCCAGGTCCTGCTCCAAGCCAGTGTGCCACCCTGGCTCCCCACTCTCATCACATTAAAGGTGCAGGATCAGCCTGCCTCCTTTTGCACTTGGCACCCCTGGTGAAATGCAGCTTACTTGACAGGGTCGTTGTGGAAGGTGGAAATGAGCAGGCTTGCATTTGTTTTATTTAACCAGTTCTCTCTTCAAAGAGCTCTCCTAATCTCTCGTTTCGGTCCAGTGAAAAACCGTTGCTCCTGCGCCTTCTCATTGCCCTGTCACCACAACGCTAGACAAAAGGGTGAGTTGCGTCAGAGAACTCTCCTCTCCCTGCCCCAGGGTGCTTCCAGCCCCTCCATTATCTGAGCAGCTTGGCAGAGGGAGCGCATACTTGGAACGCAAGTCATATCCGCCCCACATCCACAAGCCCAGGGTCCTGTCATCACAGACATCACTCACGGCCCTTGTATTTCTTTTGGGTGCACCTGAAGTTGGAGCCACTGGTGCCCTGCAGCCATGCGTTCTAGCTGATATCTTTTTCTTGATCTTGCGGTTGTCATCCTCCTAGGGATTAGTTCAACTGGAAATTAATCCAGTTCCATCCCTCCATCAGTCCACACCCTTCACTCTTAAAATAATTAGAGACCAAGGGTTTTAGAAACTGTGGGTCCACACCAGAGATGTAAAGGACACCCAACTTGCCCCAAGGAATCCTGGAAATTGTTAAGGGAACTAGGAATCATGGAGAAACTACAGTTCCCAGGATTCTTTGGGGAAATCCGTGTTCTTTAAATGGACCTTGGGTGTACTTTACATGTCAGGTGTGCACCTGTCTCACAGCCGGTTTTTCTAAAGCAGCTGAGCAGCACTTCAAGTACCTAATGGGTTGTTACATAGATGAGGGTGAAGAAGAAGAAGAAGAAGAAGAAGAAGAAGAAGAAGAAGTCGTTATCTGCTTCTTTAAAAGGAAGAACTAGATCTAATAGTTTTAAGCCACAAGAGCATAGATCTCAGTTGACCATTAGGAGAAACCTCTTGAACTTACAAGCACTTAGACTATGGTACTGTTTACCCAGGACAGGGATAGCCAACACTGTGTCCTCTGGACATTGCTGGACTCCAGTTCACATCAACTCTCCCACCCAGCCAGCATTGGCCCTTGGTCAGGATGATGGGAGTTGGAGTCCAACCACATCTGGAAGGTCACCTCATTGGTGCCCTGGACTTAGGGGTGGGTAGGCTTGAAGCAGAGGTTGGAGGACAGCCATCTGTTGGGGATGCACTAACTGGATTTCCTGCATCAAGAAGGGGGTTGGACTAGATGGCCTACAAGACCTCTTCCAGCTTGGTCGTTCTGTGAACTTTCATTTCCCTGAAGGTTATATGGGGTTGTTGTTTTAATCAGAATCTTAATCAAAAGGATTAGATATGATGTATTCTGGAGGAAACCTCTCGTCTGTTGGTTCATTTGACTTGACTCTACAAATGTCTCACTGGCAGACCAGAAATCAGGATGCCCTTCTTACCCCTCCCCATGATGGGCAGGAAAATGGGGAAGGGCCGTAGCTTAGTGGGTAGAGCATCTGCTTTGCATGCAGAAGGTCCCAGGTTCAATCGCCAACATCTCCAGGTAGGGCTGTGAAAGACTCCCTACCAAATCCTGTAGAGTGTTACTGCCAGTCAGTGAAGACAATACTGAGCTAGATGGACCAATGGTCTGACTTGGTATAAGGCATCTTCCTACATTCCTCTGTGCCCTACATTTAGAGGGCTTATACCAAAATCTAACTTAGGTAACATATCTCAGTTGCACAACATAGCTTAAGTTCAGGAGATCCACACCTCTGAGTAAGAGTTCATTTGTGCCCCTAAGATTATTTAAGCATGCACTAATTTTTAAAAATGTAGTGTGTAAATGAGAGAAGGATATATATGGAAACATGAGCATTATATGGGGCAGACGACAGGATAAGGATTTGTTGCAGCTTCCTAAGAAGCATCCGGTTGATAACACACTTGGCCACAGAATGTGTGGGAAGGCCTAAAATGTGAGCACTCTAGAGATCTGAACCCACCCTTCCCACAGCAAGCAGAAAACTCTCCATTGCACCCCAGTTTCATACAGGAATTGCAGATAGCTGTTCTTCTTATGTACAAGGTGAATGGTCGTAGCTGCATTGTCACAAGTCGTTCTGGGCTCTGTAACAGCGACACATGCATACGGGCTTAAGCCAGAAACTAGTGGAAAGGGTTCAAATGCCTTAATAGCCATGCTTAGGTTTGCAACCCAGCAGCCTGGGCTCAAGGATCCCTTGAGCATCCACTCTTTTTTCAGCTACCTTACTCTTCTTTTCTTAACTGTTTTTACACCACTGCATTGCTCTAGACGACCCAACTCTACAATTTAATGGTTCCAAAGGCTCTCTGGTTTGCCATTTACCTTGCTCCGCAGATCCTCGATGGTCCTGAAGTATGGGCTGTAGTCACGCTCTGGACCTGGTCCCTGCTTCATGTGCCACTCCTTGATCTTGACCTCCAGCTCGGTGTTGGCTTCCTCCAGCGCCCGCACCTTGTCCAGGTAGTTAGCCAGGCGGTCGTTCAGGTTCTGCATGGTCTCCTTCTCGCCCCCGGCCAGAAGGACATCGCTGCCACCAGCGACAAAGCTTCCACCATAGCCTCCACCAAACCCACCACCAAAGCTGCTGCTGCAGAAGCTGCCCCCATAGCCACCCCCAAGGGCACTGCCTACCCCATAGCCACCCCCAAGGGCACTGCCTACCCCAGAAACATAGCGAGAGGAAGAGATGGAGACGCCACCAGCTCCGCCATGGATGCTCGGGGCTCTGTATCCACCACCCAGGTGGACAGAGGAAAGCCGGGAGGAACCCCCAGCAAAGGAAGGCCCCTTCATCGAGGAGGAAGAGGTGTATTGCCTGTAGGTGGTGGTCATGGTTGCCAGGAAATGGAGACACCCAAGAGAAATGTTCTGACTACGTTCTAAAAGGCTGGAGAGAGCTAGCAGCTCCTTGTCTGTATTCTCCTCTTATATCTGAGACGGAGGCGTTGCCACAAGGAGTGGCGTGGGTGGGTGGGGGTTGGTCTCCTCTCTTTTCCATTCCCTGAAGGTTTCATCACCCCGGGCATCCAAGCCAACTTCCCAAACTATCCTTTTCCTCCCTGCGTTTATTCATGCCTATGTCACATTCCAGAGGGCGGACTTTTCTTTTTATTGAACCGTTCCTTCTTTTGTTTCCGAAAAGAAATCGTCAGCTGTTACTCAGCCAAGGTGGCTCTTCCACCCAAGGCTATATCTTTTTTTTAAAGGGTTTCTGTACCAGGAAGGCTATGGAATGCAAGTAAGAAAGAATAAAGTATTTGGAGACTCCGCCCTGATGTCTTTCTGAAAAGTCAGGGCATTCTGCCTTTCTCGTGTTTTTCTTGGCTCCCACTGCTGAGTCTTTCCTAAGCACCCATATCCTTCAGCACCTTCTGGAATGTGGAGTGTGTGGACTCTGTCTCTAAAGCAGGGTTCAGCCAAAGACTCTTAAGAGCGTATAACCAATGACCAAGTGGAAGGATAGGTCTGCTGGCAAGACTTCGCTTGGCCGGGAACTGAAAATCTCAGGGCCAGACAGCAAACAAAGCTTATCTTCCATCACAGCGTCCTTGTTGCAGAGGTTTAGTTACATGCAGGCATCAACAGAGGACACCCCCAGAACCTCTACTGCAGGGTTTTCCAGACTTGGGTCTCCAGTTGTTTTTGGACTACAACTCCCATCATCCCTAGCTAATAAGACCAATGGTCAGGGATGATGGGAATTGTAGTCCAAAACAGCTGGAGCCCCACATTTGAGAAACACTGCTCTAATGGAACATAATCATCATTTCTAACCCACCTTTTTTTTCCAAGGAGTTCATGGTACTTGGTTCTCCCCCTCCTCATATAAGACACACACCCCCAACAAGCCTGCAAAGTTAGGGCTCCCAGATGTGTGTTTGTCATTTGAAAGGAGTATAGAAAAGAATGACTTGGAGGGTAAGGGTTAAGCACCCTCCCATCTGCCCTCTCTTTCTTGCAAATTGCGCCCTGGCCCTGTATTGGTTCTCTTGGTTCTCATTTTTCCAGTCTTAAATTTTTGCAGCAAATATATATCTTAGTGCAAATTTCATATACTGTTTTGACTAATCTACACATTTTTATGCACACTTTCCCCCAATAGCTGCGTATTTGTGAACAAAGGTTGGAGAACTACACCTCAGACTTTGGATAAGTGCAAATTTTGAAAGATGGCTGTTTAGGTTCTTATATTAGTTCAGAAAGTGCAAATTTGATAAATTCAGTTTTAAATGTGAACTGCGTCAAATTTCTCCCCCTGCCATTTTGCTCTGGAGAGGTGACACCCTGCAACCTTCTAAATATTGCTGGACTACAAATTCCATCATCCCTGACCATTGGCCATGCTGGCTTTGGGGGGCATAGAGTCCAACAACATCTGGAGAGCACAGGTTGCCCATCCCTGTTTAGCCCTGTCTGAGTTGTGGAACTCTGCATAAATCAATCCGCCATTGGTTCTCCAGATGCCACAGCACCCAGCATTAGTTTGGCCCAGATCAATACAGTGGTACCTCGGGTTACAGGTGCTTCAGGTTACAGACGCTTCAGGTTACAGACTCCGCTAACCCAGAAATAGTACCTCAGGTTAAGAACTTTACCTCAGGATGAGAACAGAAATTGTGCAGCGGCAGCAGGAGGCCCTATTAGCTAAAGTGGTACCTCAGGTTAAGAACAGTTTCAGGTTAAGAATGGACCTCCGGAACGAATTAAGTTCTTAACCCGAGGTACCACTGTAAATAGGTCTCAGCCTCAGTGAGCTTACAAACCAAAAGCTAGGGGCGTGAAGAGAATAGAGAGAAATTAAATTGCACTGGTCTTATGTTTCTCCCTCCCTCCCTCCCTATCTTTCTTTCTTTCTTTCTTTCTTTCTTTCTTTCTTTCAATACCAATATATTCCTGAGAGCCATTTCACACGCTGCACAGCAGTAAGCCTACATTTGCAACCAAGTGTCCCCTAGACCAGAGGTTTTAAACCTTTTTGAGTCCACGGCTCCCTTGACCAACTACCTTCTTTCTGAGGCACCCCTGTGGGGTTCAGGGGCCCAGTTATGTCACCGCTTGCCTTCAGAGCCAGCAGCCCCTCACCCCTTTTTGAACACCCTCCCCGGTGGAGTGTGTTCCCTCATCTTCCTCTCTGCTCCCCTCTCCTTGGGAGTCCTCTGGGTAGCCACTGCTGCCATCCCTGGTCTCTGAGCTGCCCCACCCCCTGCCCCAAAGAGAGGTGCCTCATCCTGCCACCCCACAGGGGCCTGGGCAGAGGATGCCCCCAGCCTTAGTGGCCCCTGTTTCGTTAGCCCAAAAATGGAAAACAAGTGAGTTCCCAAATTAAACTGATAGAATATGCGCAGCTTGCAGATCTAACATACAGAATAAGATAACAAGAACATGTGTTCAAAGAAGATTGGAAAATGTTTATTGAATATAAGGGGGGAACTGTGTACACTTGAAAACGTTGGCAGCATTAAGATAAATTCAACAGCGTAAGTTTTGATGGATGTAATAATGCAATACTTGAATGGCTTGGTTTATTTAAAATATGCAGGGATTGATGTTATGCAGAATGAACCATGGAAGGAGAAGAAGAGAATCTTGGTTAAATGAATATTCTAAATTATAAAACAGAAAACTTAATAAAAATGGGGGGGGGAATCATTGCCCTAGACAATGAGAAACAGACAAATCTAGCTTTCTGGCAAATGGAACTGCATGACACACTTGCTTGCAAACACCTTTTGTTTTATTCCTTCTTGGCACTCTAGTTATACACCTAGAGATGTAGAAAGAGGCGACATCATATCAGACCCTTGGCCTGCCTAGCTCAATACTGTTGACACTGAATGGCAGCAGCTTTCTAGGATTTTCATACTGTGCTCTCCCAGCCCTACCTTGAGATGCCCTTTGGAACAGAACCTAGGACATTCAACATGCAATGCATTTGCTCTAACACTGACCTATGACCCATCTCCATGCTGAAAGGACAGTGTCCAGTGGCTCTAATGCCTTACTTTTGTAGACAGCTCTGAAAGCGCCTGGATGCCTTGCATTGTTGCAGCTGTTGCAGAATCCCAGGTCCTCTCGCCACGGCATCACTAAGTTTCTTGATGATTAATTTTAAGTTCTAGGAGCATTCATATGTCCAGCTTCATGAGGGTAAAAATGTCTTTAAAATGTTACACAAGTGTCAGGCTTTGGGGAATTCTATCCCTCCCACGGTGGCAGCAAAAAAGCAGAACAAAGAAGAGTTCTTACCAGTTAGTTTATTCAATAATCACAGTGAGAGACAAAGAAATGCAGTCTCTCTATACAGTGGTACCTCGGGTTAAGAACTTAATTCGTTCTGGAGGTCTGTTCTTAACCTGAAACTGTTCTTAACATGAGGTACCACTTTAGCTAGTGGGGCCTCCCGCTGCCCCCACCGCGAGATTTCTGTTCTCATCCTGAAGCAAAGTTCTTAACCCGAGGTACTATTTCTGGGTTAGCAGAGTCTGTAACCTGAAGCGTCTGTAACCTGAGGTACCACTGTAGTGGCGTTCCTCTACATTGTCCCTATTCTATGTCACCCCTGCATCAGCTAATCTGGACTTTCTGCCTCTGAGCTCTCTGTTCTAATACCCTCAATGCCCACCTCGTCCTGGGAGGGGGGGGTCAGGAATCCTTTCCAAGGACACTGAGTCTGTCAGCTGTCTCTCCCCTGATACTTTTTCTTCCTGTTGTTCCTCTCCCAATATTTCCCAGCTTCTCCCCTCTGCAGCCTCTGAACTATGCCCTTCTGCAAACCACTGTTCTAAATCTATACGGTCCTCCTGTTCTCAGGAAGGTTCAGGAGAAGGGGGAGGCGGCCCCCACCATTCCTCCTCAGTCCAGCCCCTGACAATAAGTGAACTGCAGTGGCTATGATCTCATACACACAAATTTCAAGTCTGGGGTTACCCAGTGGATATGAATGATGTAGCAAGCTGCTGCTTGTTGTGCAAATCCACTGCTGAATTAGCCGCATCCAGTTATGTCATTCCACTGGAACGGCCAATTGCATGTATGCACAATGAAAGTACACATCATACCGTTGGATTGCTATGACTCTAACCGTGCTCCACCTTAAGCATCTATTTGCCAGCTCAGAGCTCTGCAAGAAGGTAAAGGGGAAAAACAGGGATGGGCGGATCAGTCTATTTCAGGTCTGGGTCAGTTTCACATGCAATTCATAAATCTGTCCTGTTTACACAGTAATCTATGTATTTGGGGGTTTTTATTGACTGCACATGGACATTCATGCTCAAACTCTAAATACATATTTTGTACTAAAAATACATTTAGACAGATATTTCATGTATGCTTTTATAAATATATATTTATCCTTGAATATGCAGTTTGGTGCCTTTTCATTTTAAAAAAAATTATTTTTCATTTTTTTAAAAAAAACAACAATATTATTATCCATTTAAAACATTTTCAATTTCTAGACATCTAGGATTATTTAGATCCCCAGACTCCCCCCACTGTATCTAATTACATTTTTCTAATCCATTTTATCTCCTTTTTTTTTACCTTAAATATTAATTTTACCTTAAATATTACATTATAAGTGTTATAACAATCCTGCTAACATTTTAAATATCTACAGTGGTCTTTAAGGTATTCTATAATTCCCCCCCCCCCAACTTCTGGCTAATTTTTTTTTAATTATCTTGGTGTTTGGTGCCTTTTCGAAGCTGCAAACTGTATTGCAAAATTCAGCAAAGGGCCGAATAATCTGTGAAGTCCTTGTTCAAAGAAACCAAAACAGTGCAGGCCTAGTGATTGCAGCAACTCTTGCAGTAGGCCTTGCACCAATGAGGCTGTTGCAAGGACTGAAGGCCCCCGTCGTCCAACCGCTCTCTAAAACTCCTCCCCCAGGTCATTGTCCAGCAGCCTAAGGCTTCCTCGTCCTGTCTCTCTTTGGTCTGCCCTCTTCATTTTTCTGTGTGTTCTTCGAGACCAGGAGGAAGGGGAACAGGTCACAGCAGGAGGAATAGTTTCCCTGGCTTCTTCAGCAGCCTGACTCATTGCTGCCTCTTGGCCCCCTCCTCTCCAGCCTCCACTTCTGTCTCTGAGCCTGGACTGCTGTCTGCCACAGCCTCTTCCTGCTCACTAAACCCTGTTACCTCTTCAGCTTCTGACACCTCCTCCTGCCCGTTTGCTCCATCTTTTCCCTCTGGCCATTTATAGTCATTCTACCACCAAACCGCTGACTCTGAGCCTTCTTCCCCTGGGGGTTCCCTTGAGGTTCCCCAGCTATTGCCTCCCACTCCTCTGCCGGTCCATGACAACCACTGATTAAGACCTTATTTTGTGCTGT